TCTTCATAGATGCTGGAATCAGCATTTTATTGTACTGGATTTTGACCTTTGGAAACATGCTGCTTTCCTAGACAGTAGTATAATCCTGCATGTCACAAAGGCCCCCTCTTTGTATGCAATCTGGGAAGGATGCAGTTTTGTCATTCCTCTTTTTTTAAATCTGTGTCTCATTTTTCCTTCCTATGTTTTCCTTCTTGTAGAAAGCAAGTGTCTCCCTTCCCATGCAGGTACAGCAGTTGCTTGGCTGGGGGTAAAAACTGAGAGATTAATTGTGCTACATGTGGTCTTTGCCCCATTGACACACTGTGATTTGCCCAGGTTGAAATGCTTACATGAGTGATCTTATTTCCCCATGCAATAGGCTGTAGGCTAGTATAGGCAGGACTGAAAGGTAAAATGTGCGTGAGTGCTAAAAACTGCAGTTTAACAGCTATGGATGCACTATTTAGGCATGTACAGCCTAAGGCACAGACTTTAGGGATTTAGAGACCCAAATCTGTCAGAAAGACCCTGAAAGCTGACAACTTAAATCCTGTCTGCTAGCTATGAGATCCCAACTGCAAAGCAGGTCATTGGCAGTAGTGGACTCCTCAATATTGGTTTGTTTCTGTTGGAAGGAGTGCTGCCTGCAAGAAAACAATAAAAGAAAGATGGTAAAAAGGATAATAGTGGGTTTCTGGATACCTGGATGACTTTTTTCAAATGTTTCCTAATGGAAAAAACAGATCACTCCTGGAACAGAGTAAAAATATCAGGCCACTTGGGTACATGATCCAGGATCTCACAGCCTGTTTCAGAGTTATAATGAAAGGTGAAAGAAAAAGGTATAATATTAAGTAGATGGGATGACATAAATTTACTTTTAATGTTTTAACTTTTTTGGTGTGTCTGTGTTTTCTTTATTATTATTCTGACAGATAAAGACCATGGCAGACCCAGAACAAGGAAACCAAACATTTGTCACAGAATTTATCTTCCTGGGATTTGGTGATCTCCATGACCTGCAAAGTCTTTTCTTCCTGCTCTTCCTCATGATCTACGTTTTGACCATGGTAGGAAACATTGTCATTATTGCCCTAATTGTCACTGAGCACCGCCTTCACACCCCCATGTACTTCTTCCTGGGGAATTTGTCCTGCTTAGAAATCTGCTCCACCTCCACCATCCTGCCCAGGATGTTGTCTAGTTTGCTTAACAAACAATATGGGATTTCATTAAGTGGTTGCTTCTTTCAGTTTTATGCATTTGGTTCCCTGGCATGTTCTGAGTGTTATCTCTTATCTGCCATGTCTTATGATCGGTTCTTAGCAATATATAAACCACTGCATTATGCATCCTTGATGAACAGCAAGGTCTGTATCCAACTAGCAGCATGGGCTTGGATAAGTGGATTTGTGTCTAACACCTTCACATCATTCTTGGTATCACAACTGACTTTCTGTGGGTCCAACCATATTGATCATTTCTTCTGTGATTACACTCCATTGCTAGTGCTGTCCTGCAGTGACACACATGCAACAGAAATAGCTATGTCTGTGGAGGGCACAATGTGCACTGTGCTTCCCTTTGTGTTGACCCTCATGTCCTATATTTGTATCATTGCCACCATCCTAAGAATCCCTTCCACCACCGGGAGAAAAAAAGCCTTTTCTACCTGCTCCTCACACCTTGTTGTGGTTACAATATTCTATGGTAGTCTAATAATTGTCTACACATTACCAAAAAGTGATGTATTGAGAGACCAAAACAAAGTGTTCTCAGTTTTTTATGCCATATTGACCCCTTTATTAAACCCTCTTATATACAGTCTGAGGAATAAGGAGTTCAGGGAAGCCCTGAGGAAGGCTATGGGCAATTGTGTGCCTTCAAAAAGAATTCGGAGAGTCCAAACCCTGGATTTAAATTTAAAACACACAAGGGACATGTGAAACTTATTTACTTGATGTGAAGAATATGGAAGCACTGTGTTTTATTGTATTATTACCATGCAAACTTCTGTGCATTTGATTATATAGTTATGCTAATTGCTAAATGGCTGCCTTCTGCTGGGAACATACTGCACACCTCCCCAAGAAAGTGTCTATACTTTTATTAATTTTGTGCAAAGGCCAGAACTGAGGAGGGCAATGAAGGTATCAAGCCCTTGTAAGTTTATTTCTAAGAATACTGAGTATCACTACCTGAAGTGAAATAGGGCTATGGAAGCAAAGTAAAACAAAGGACATTGTAATGATAAAGCTGACCTCCAGTGAACAGATCCTCACTGTAGGAGACGGCTCAGATGATTGTGTGGGACAATAGAAGAGGAACACTGAGTGAAAGCTGGAAACTAGCATGAGCAATTTTGAAGGAGCATTATGTTCAGGCATTCCTTGTTTTTTCTAGACCTGTAAATTGTGCTTTCCTTCTAGCAAAAGGTCTCTGGTTTAACATTTCCTTTGAAGAGTCTCTGGGATCTTCGCTATAATTGGGATGTACTCCACAAAGCATTAAATGATGTCCGACTACCCTGGAAGTTGGAGCCGTCACATGGATGTTCTTAACCTTTGTGGCGTTTTATCAGTTGACACTGGTCTTTTGGTCCAAGTAACTGAGTGATGGGTTCCATACCCTAATAAGAGAGTCTGTACATAGAGAATATAATTGAAACCTCAAAGCAGTATCTGTATACTCAAGAGATACAACAGCCGGAAAGGGATGTGGATTCCCATTCTGCGGGTGTGTCTACACAAGTAGACCTAATAGTAGCCTAATAACACTGCACAGTAGCCTAATAAAACGGTATAGTATCCTAATAACACTGTGCAGTAGCATGCCAGGCAAAACCTGTGCTAATACTCTGCTACACAGTAGTATTAAGCTACTGCACAGTTAGTGTCTGCAAAAACTCGTGCAGTAGCGCCAGTTACTGTGCATTGATTTAGTACTTAGTTAAGAAAGTACTAACATTAATGTGCTCTAACTATGGTGCATTAATGCACATGTAGGGAGGAAATACAGCCCTGGTGAATGTGTTCTGTTTCTCATTCACGACTGTAATCAATGGGGCAAATAATGAATATAAAATGCTGGCTGAGTTGGTTAGCGCCCTTCACTGGAAAGGAATAGCTACAGGTTCAGTCACTGAGGAGGTAGGTCTATATTCCTTGTGTCCTATTTCCAGGGGGAGTGCTCTAAGTACCCTCTAAGCATTTTAAAGATAAGTCAATTCAAGTGAGGGTGTCCTTTAATCCAGTTTACCCTGGTCCTTCCAGGATACTGTGAGTCTGCTTTGAGGAGACAAAGGGTGCGTCTACATGTCAACCTATGGCAATGTAGTGATGTGCTACATCACCATATGGCACACTACAGAACCATAGCAATTATGTGGATCTACATGGGATCACCAGGTATTTTGCCATAGCAGCACAATTCCCCATTATAACGCACTGCTACGGCGGTGTAGCAGCAAAAAACTAACCATGAGCCATGAATAAGGCACAGTAACCGCCTATACTGCACCATGCTTTAGTACTTCCAAAGAGAAGTACTAAAGCATGGCACCATAGCAATGTTGCCATATGGTGACACAGACACACCCCAAACATTTAATTTGCAGTCCTCCAGCATCCCAGGATGCACAGCTATCTACCCCTTCCCACCTTCCAAACCTCTACTGGTCTCACCCCACAAAAGCTCTGTGCTTGAGTGGAGCCATTGGGCTTAATTGTAGCCAGACCATGGAGCACAAGGAAGAACCCATCCCTGGACACCCTGATCTCAACCCTCAGCAACTCCATGCTAAGAACAGAGTTGGCAGGGTTTAATGCCTGGTGAAGTTTCCTTTGTAAGCATCTTCCATCTTGCCCACCAGTCAGTGGGCAAAGGTTGAAAAGAGAAGATAATAATGGGGAAGAATAGTCTGGGATCTCTGTTGCTGTACTTCCCTGCACCAACCTCCTCACTTAGCTGAGAAGCTGGCCCAGATTCCTCTGGAGTCAAGAGCCACTGGATGGGTGTAGGCTGGTGGGACATAGCTCAAATGTCCAGGCCTTGCAGACAAAGTGCCAAGGGCACTGATTTGATGGAGTCTCAGGGAGGCGGTCCAATTGTCTGTGACTAGGCAAGGGACTAATGGGAAGCTATGTTGCCCTGGCTGGCTCTGGTTAATGTTCCTAATGCATTGAGACCTGTGTAGCTTTGCTAGGCTGCTTTTACTGCTATTTAAATCCAAACAAATCACAAGCAGGTAGAACGGGGGGTGTAAAGTTGAGTGCTGGGGAGCTCTGCATAAGGAATAACCCTAATTTAAAAACCTAGAAGGTCTGTCAGACAGGCCAAACTTTTTGTTACTGTCCCACTTGCCAAATATGGTGCCAAGGATCATGCCAGACCATTGTCATAATGGTCATCCCTCTAATTGACCGACAGTTCCTGGTCTAACCTTGATAAAACCTTATACAAACATCAGCCTCCTAACAACTGAAATTGGCTCAAAGCCCTGATAGATTCACAAATGTTGATCACTCCTATTTGTAATGATCACTGGGCTAAATAACCACAGATTTATGTGAATGAGAAGAATTACACAACAGATCCCAACCTCTTACGTCTCTCCCCTCCCCATACACTTCAACCAATCTTTTCTTCAAGATTTTTCTTTTCCCAAGCCACACCCCTATGCTGGTTTCTCAAGCTCCAGGCTACATGCCACACTCCTATTCCTGTCCTACCCCAAAAAAGCAGTAAAGTCCTGGAATAAAGGATACAGAGTTTGGCTCCACTTAGTGGTGCAAAGGGAGATGAAGAGTTACTTTAACATGCCCGCATCTACCTGGGATTATAACAGAAGACCATCCTTTCCCAGGCCCACTTGCCAGTGAATAGTTTCCCTCCTGACAGGGAAGGGGAGAGTGGCAGTAGGTCAATAGAGGGTGCTCGGGTGCCACCCACCAGTTTCAAAATGACACACAAAACCTGTGTCAGGTAAATAAATGAATAAAAATAATAGTATCATTAACTGGAAGTATCCAAAACAGTGTCTGTTGAATTAACAGTGTAAACAAAAGTAATACTTTTTTTTCTTGCCTATGTCTGCTAGTAACATAACCAATAATTATGCTTGTCCACTAAGCATACACAACAAAAAGTTGAGTACACGCAGTAAGCACCTTGGAGCCATCTCCTTAACACCCCAGTGGTGCATGAGCAGTAGAAACACCCGAGTAGTTTTGGGGCAGGGGGGGAAGCTGGCTAGGGGCTGAGGGAATGCGGAGGTTTGCAGCTGGCCGGGTACTTCAGCCGGGAGTGGGTGGTTTGCAGCCAGGGAGCTGGGAGTTTGCAGCTGGGGACCTGGGGGGGTGCAGCCCGGGAGGTGGCGGGGTTTGCAGCCAGGAAGCTTGGAGGTTTAGTTTTGATAAACATAAAAAATTACATGTTATGTTTTATGGCATAGTTTTCATAAACAAACAAAAATTGAATAAATTAAATTAAATTAAAAAATGAAAATGAATGATATAGTGTGACACTCCACCCACCCCACCTGTCTGAGTTCACCAGCCGTGCCCCGAAGGGGACTGTAGTCTGGCCAACTGGAATTCTCCATTCCCACAGACATATTATTAGGCTTCCACATGGCCTCCTATGGACCAGGCTGCAAACTTCTGCAAAGTTCCAGATGTGACTGAGAATGGCCATAGAGATACTAGCCCCTCCCTGTTTATAGAAGCATAGAGAAGTAGGGATCGAAGGGACCCCTCTAGAGGTCATCTAGTCCAACACCTTGCCTGAGGCAGGATCATTCCTATCCAAACCATCCCATTGAAATCCATTGTCTAACCTGTTAGAACCATACAGTCACCCATGACACAAAAACAAACATAACACCCTAACCTGCCACAGGTAAACCCCCACCCTTGACTGCATCCAACAGTCAATGCCTTTGAGGAAAGCTAAAAAAAAAAAAGACCATTGACATGGGTAGCAGAAGAAAAGGGGAAAAAAATCCTTCTTAACTCCATGTGGCCACCAGCAAAGCCTAGAAGCAACAGTAGAACACAGGCAAAGCTACACCTAGGCAATCCCTTACCAATGCACATGTAGATGCACATGCTTATTGCACAGTAAACTATGCTACATCAGAGTAAAGCATCTTGCCCACTATTGTAGCCAAACTCCCAGTTTATCTTATTTTTAACTTGAAAATACATTCCCTTCCCTTCACCTAACCATTTCTGACTTTCTCTCTGCCCTCTCTATCCCTTATAGGTGATTACAAGTAACACTAGGTAAGCTAAGTTCTTGTATACTATTATTGTAATAAACCCCTTTTTATATTGTAAATAGTGTTCTGTTATGTTTGTGTTGATTTTTACTGTTTTATATTGCATTATATTGTATTCTTATCATTTGTGCATTGATTGTTATTGTTTCATATTAACATTGTATGATTTAGACCTGCAATGTGGATTGGCATGAGTGATGTCAAGTATCCATTTTGCGTGTCAGGGGGGTCCCATCTGGTCCCCATGCCCTGTTGTGTAAGTATGATGTAAACTATGACGCATACCTACCTCTCCTATGTAAATTGGTTCCTGAATGAATGGGGATGAATGAGAGTGCTTGAGAGACAATGCCATTAGGTCTAAAAATAGCTCCCTCTGAATGACCGAACCATCAACTAGATGACCCAACCATCACGCTGCTTTGACCCTCCCTGGCTCAAAATTTGGGAGACAAAGACTGCTGCAGAAATCAGTCAACTGACCATTACAGACACCTGAAACTGCATGTCCTTACCTAGAAGTGCACATGCTCAGTACACCAGGGGATGACTCTTGTCTGGGCATGCCCATGCCACTAGGGTCATAGGAGGTCTGCCCCTATAAAAGGGGGCAGTGAAGACAGACCCAATGGGATGCCCTTTCCATCTGGACCAGCACCATGCCAC